TCCTGTAGGAGGGATAACACTTGAAACCTTGTCATTTTACTTTCCAAAGTAAATGAGTTTATCTGATCATTCTCAGCAAACTAGTTTCGATAGTCAAGGAGCAGAGCTTAAGGGGCAGCTAGGTGGTGCATTGGATAGAGCACCGGCCCTGACGTCAGGAGGACCTGAGTTCAAATCTGGCCTCAGACCAAACGCTTGACACTTACTAGCTGTGTGACCCTGGGCAAGTCACTTAACCCCAATTGCCTAAAAGAAGAAGAAGAAGAAGAAGAAGAAGAAGAAGAAGAAGAAGAAGAAGAAGAAGAAGAAGAAGAAGCAGTGCTTAGTAATTAGTTCCAGGCACTGTTCTAAAGCCTGGCAATATTAAAGACAGGCAAAATTTTAATTCTGACCTTAAGGAGCTTACATTCTAATGAGGTCAACATGTAAATCACTATGTACATACAAGGTAGAGATATAGATCTATACACATATATAATGATCTATATCACATATGTCATATATATCATGTCATATGTATTATATATGTGTCACCCAAGGCTCTTGATATTGGCACTACTTGAGAGACAGGACATAGGAAAGGGACAAAAAAACAGAGATTGGGGGTATCAGTGACAAATTTTACTTTCTTTACGATTTTGTGGATTTCTTGCCCTGACTACTCAAAGTATTTAGCTGATTTTGCTGGCTTTAGAAGAGTGTAGAAAAATGTGGTAAACACTGGTAATTAGTAGTCTGAGGTTTTTAGCTGCAGCTGCTTCTGTTTGTGTATATGAATAGCTAAGTGTATGCAATTAGAAGAAAAATCCATTTTGCATGCTAGGAAAGCCAAAAACATCCACCTCAATGTTGCTTCTGTAAATACCTCGTTTCTCTGTAGCCAATTGCAGATGGAAGCTAATGAGTCAGGTTCTTGCACCTCTGATTGCTGTTTGTATCATACTGGTAACTGAACAAAAGGGTAGAGCAATAATAAAGAAATTGTATCAATACATTCAAGTGAGTTGAGATTTGAAATGCAAGGTGAAGAAGTGAGACAATCCTATCAAAAGGCCGGAATCTTCTTTAGTCTTTTGGAAAAGGTATGGCAGTAACCTAAAAGAAAAAGCAAATGTTTGGCATAAACAAGATCTTCTAATTGACAGTATTAATTTGCCAAAATTAATTTAATGCTTTATCTCCTGGTGAATTCATTAGCTCTTTCAGGTAGTATGGATTTAGCCTATGTAGATATCCAGGGTTTTTTGTGTATTTGGCCTGTTTCTTGTTCCTCTGTCAGCTCTATTAAAAAGTACTTAGTTCACAGGTGATGGTAAAGTCACTTAAACTTATTTGAACTGAAGAAATCTCTTCCACCATCCAGCCCATCAACTCTTCTCACCCCTGCCTTATGCTATACAGGCTTAAAGAATTCCTTCAGTAAATGACCTTCCTGGCTGCCAGCACTAGCCTTTAACAGACATAATCTTCCCAGCCATCATTGCCATTGACTCTTCCAATAACCATTCTGCTCAATAGAAGGGGGAAGGAAACTTGAGAAGCACATGTTCTGGCTTTCTTTACTATACAACCGTCCCAACCGCCATTACCACTGACCCCACCATCCCTCATTCCGAACAACTTGAGAGGGCTCCAAATGTGAGATAGCAACACGTCAGAAGTAATTTCCAACCAAAATTCTAATTAGCCCCTAGGACTCAACATAGTTGGTCAGTAAACATTTGTTAAGCACCTCCTGTGTCAGGTACTGTGCTGAGTGCTGGGGATACAAAAAGAGTCTAAAGATAGTATCTGCTTTCAAGGAGTTCCCAATCTATTGGGAGAGATAACATGCAAAAAAATATGCACAAACAAGCTGCATACAGGATAAGGAGGAAATAATTGAAAGGGAAGGCACTAGAGTTGAGAAAGGTCTTCCTTTAGAAGATGGGATTTTAACTGGATTTAAAGGAAGCCAGGGAAGAGACAGTTGGCAGACCTAAGGAGGGAGAGCATTCCAAACATGGGAGACAGCCAGAGAAAATGCCCAGAACTGAAAGCAGAGAGCTGAGAACTAGTCTCTGAGTTTATTTGTTCTGGGTACCTCCCCAACCTATGAGTAACAAACTCCCACCTCCCAATCCTCCCTCACGCAGCCTTACTTCCTTTCTTGCCTGTCACTCCATAGTTTATGTCCTGCCAATTTCAAATGCTTGGTCTCCCCAGCTCTTCTTTCTGTTGTTTCCTACTCCTACTTCTAATTCAGTTTGAAGAAGTGAGGCAGTATGATGCAGTGGAAAAGAGTGATAGATCCGGAGTCAGAAATCTGGGGTTCAATTCCTGACTGCCATTTAGTGCCTGTGTGACCTTGTGCAAGTCACTTAACCTCTCTAGTTCAGTTTTTTTAAATTATAAAATGAAGGGACCTGGGTTGGGGGATCTCAGAGGTCCCTCCTAGCTCTAAATCTATGACATGATGAATGATCCTAAGAAACATTCTGCTTAGATTCACTGCACTCTCTAACCTCTGCCAACCCTTCACCGTAGCACAACAATTCATCTCTAATTGACAACATCCAATGTTGTGAAATGTACTCTCCTATATTTCTCCCCCACTTCTCTGCTAACCTCCTACTAAAAGTGATCTATGTTTGCTATCTCCACTTTCTTACTACCCACTCACTTCTTGACCCCTTGCATTCTGGTTTCCAACCCCTCTATTCCGATGAAACTGTTCCTTCCTAGGTCACCAGTGACTTCAAATGACAAGTCCAATGGACTCATTCTGTTATCTCTTCCCCAGTATTTGACACTGGTGATTATTCCATTCTCCACATCATTCTCTCCTCCTTTGTCTTTTACGACATTATTCTCACTTGGTTTCTCTCCTATATGTGTAAGGTCCCTTTTATTAGTTCACTGTATTATTTCCATATTCTATGAGTGGATGTCATTCCCCAAATCCCAGACCTTTTTCTCCTCTCATATACTTTCCCATAGTGATATCATCAATTTCCACAGCTTCAATTATCAACTCAATGCAGATGATTCTCAAATATGCATATCTTGTCCCAGCCTCTGTCCAAAATTCCAGTCCTATATCTGTAACTGATTGTTGGGCACCTCCATTTGAATGCCCATTCCAGTGGCACCTCAAAAACATTATGTTTAAAATTAAAGTTGTCTTCTCTCTCCCCTGTTTCCTCACCCCAAACCTGTTCCTCCTCACAGTCTCCCTATTTCTGTTTGTGGCACCATCATCCTACCAGTCATCTGGGCACAAAACCACAGAATTATCTTTAATCCCCTCTCCCTTCCTCATTCACTCATCCAGTCAGTTACAAATGTTATTCATTATTCTACCAAAATATTAAAATTATCCCTTCTACATCATGGGGGTTAGGAGTGTGGCACTATCCCCCTTCCCCTCATATCTCCTACCCCACTTCACCACCCCCCCAGGATCTGAAAAATCCACATAAAGTGTTTTGGCCCTTCCTTTGTACCAGAGAAGAAGTCTGAATTATTATGGTATTAAAAGATAAAATATATTGATAATATACAATTACATATATGTTTGTATGTGTATAATGCATTTCCGAGTTTCTAAATGTTTTCTGTATCATCTGCTGATCCTCACATGTCATTTGCAGCCTCCTCAAAACTCCCCCCAAAATCCCCATTTAATTTCTTATGCCAACCCACAATACATTGAAACCAAGATGGAGAAAGTTGCGATGTGGAAGGGATAACTGTAGTAATATTCTACTCCTTAACTCTATTTAAGCCATCATCAACCTGTTTCAGCCCTTTTATCTTCCTAATATAGGTCTTTTCTCTGCTCAAATTCCCAATTGCCTAGAGATACAAAATCACTGATTCTAAGAACTGGAAGGGACTTCAGTAACCATCTCATCCAACTCTTAACTGACCAATAACTTCTTACAAAACATTCCCAACAAATGGCTGAAATTGTATGAAAAGCCTAAGCTGACATTGAAATACCTCTACATCATGACTCCAACTTATCTTTTCACCTTTTTTGTTTTTTCCTTTTGCACTGTTCTCCTATTGGAGGTCTTCATTCCAATTAAACTGCATCAGCAGACATTCCTTTAGGTAATTGTGTCATCTCCTACCTGTGTGCATCATGCAGGTAATTCTCCAGGCCATGAAAACAATCCTTCCTCATCTTCACCTATTGAAATCCTTTTTTTCCTTCAAGGTGTAGCTTACATTCCACCTCCTCCTCTTATTTGAAAGTGTTCATTTCTGTCTCCACTTTTCCTATAAAGTTTTTCTCTCTTGTCCCTCTCATATCTTTATTTATATCATACTTATTAATGGATATTCTCTCCCATCTCCATTAGATTTTAAACTCATTGAGGGCAAGGACTATATGATTTTTATTTTTGCATCTCTAGCTAATACAATGCTTTGTACATATTTGGGACTTAATAAATTTCTTTCTGTGTTAAATTGACTCCTTGTGGTTACAGTGCAAGTTCTAGATTATTATACTTTTCTTTTGAATGCCAAATACAACCTGTCTAATAACATTATCCAATCCACCCATGTCACAGTAATACACATAAATACATATTCCTAATGTCTGCTTAATCTATTCTTAAGTCTCAGATAATGCTTAAATATTAACCTACAGTTTAAGGGCTTTAAACACTTGTAACTCTTAACCAAATTGTGTTTATATATACCTATATGTGTGTGTGTGTGTGTGTGTTTATATGTATGCATGTATATGTATACACACACACACACACACACACACACACACACACACACACACACACACACACAAACAATGATCTTTGTAGTTTCTTATTCTCAACCTCTCAGGGGCAGATGACAGCCTAAGGCCAATGGGTGGTAGTGAAGTAACTTTTCTGCCTCATTGTTTAAGAATTGCAATGGTAGAAGGTCCACCCTGCCCCTCCCACTGTCACCACCACCACCACCCCCAACACTAATGATCAGATGCACCATATTTAGTTTTACCCACTCATTTACTGGACAGCCAAATATTTCGCACTGAGGCAATCTGCAAAACAAAAATAAAATGCAATCTTGGCTCATTTTGTAGTTAATTAACAAAGTTCTTCAGACTCTTCTTGGAGAAAAAAAAAGTTCTCTCTTCATTCTGTATGTGCCTATTTGGAGAGAGGGGAAAAAAGCAACTGTAATTAATGCCTCTTTTTAAAAAAAAATCAGCAGTGGGGAGCATCTTCTAAATAATGGCCTCTGAGAAGGGAAATTATAAGGTGCAAAGATAAGTGTGATTCGTTGAGTAAACAAGAGAGATTAAGGCAGTAAATGAGACAATGAGATAAAAAAAAACATGGTGAAATCTCCACTGAAAAGTGTATAATGCTCTGTGGGCAAAGTGGACTTGAAATTCCACAACAGATTCAAATTTTACCTGAGAAGGAAAGTTTTGCTACCTAAGTTAACATAGCTAGTATATGACTTTCAAGTGTAGTTCTCTTTGTCACTTGCCTGACCTAAGATGGTTTTTCCTGTCTGCAGTGGCCCCTTTAGAAGAGCTTTTGTGCTGTAATAGTAGTCAAGACTCTCTGGAGTTCAACGCACCCAGCATGCCTTTGGCAATCCTCTCCTGTGTCCCTGTGACCTAGCATTTCTTCTACTTCGCGGCCCTGGTAGCTGCTCACTTAATGGGCAAAAAGCGTCTCGAGGAAGAGGCCCTTGTAAGAATAAATAAAACGCTTGTTGTCAGGATCATCATTTCTACTTGTATCTACCATACTTAACACAGTTATTAAACACTTAATAATTACTTACAGATTGATTTAAAAAGCAAATGAGTGAAAAACAGGAATGTATGATGTTTGTGAAGACTGGAGGATGACTTTTTTTGAAAATAAAGTGTTATTGATCTCTTCTACCTATCTGACGGCTCCTTCTCAGCAGCCTTTGCTGACTCATCATCCGTAGTCCATCCCCTCAAGAGAAGACACAGAAAGAGAAATGAGGTGGAAAAAAGAGGAGGGAAGGGAAGGGAAAGAAGAGAAAAGAAAGTAGGTAGATTGGGACTATTCTGTGTGCCATGAATTCCTTATTCTTTTTTTATGCTTTAAAATATCCTCTGACAGGGCAAGCAGCTCTATCTCCCTTTACAGTATCTCTCATCTCCATTCTTTCCTTTCCTTTTCCACTGTGCCTACCCTAGTCTAGGCCCTTACCACCCTACTACTAGACTATTGTAATATGCTTTCCTAACTGTTCTCTTTGCTTCCAACCTCAGTCAATTCTACACATTACTACTGTGTTAGATTTCCTAAAGAACCACTATGATAGTGTCACCCCCCTCCCCTTTTCAATCTCCTTTAATGGTTCTTCATTTCTTATTTATTGAAGTTCAAATTCCTGCATATGGCATTTAAAGTTCCTCCATATTCTAGCCTCAACTTACCTTTCCAGCATTGTGTCCCATGACTTCTAACACAAACCCTGTATTCCAGTCGGTATTTCCCGGTCTCTAGACATACATTTTGCTTTCTCATCTCTGCTCATGAAATTCTTGAGTTCTACCTAGATAAAAAAAATAATCTTTGTTTAAGGAAACAAATTACTGAGCCCTGACTTTAGTTCTTCTTGATGTTGCCAAGAAAAACATATTTTGAGTTTAGCTGATTTTTAAAAATAGCCTGAGAAGGACTAACCTCTAGTTTTCTGAATAATGATTTTCACAGATTATAAATTCTTTACTTTTAATTTAAAAACATTGTTCCCTTTCTTCTTTCTGTGGCTGGTCCTGTAGACAATGTTTGAAAATATTTTTTGATAAATATTTGAAAAAATGCATCCTGAGGCATGTGAAGAATGTGTTTTCTGTGGATTATTGTTGCCTGTGACTGTAAAATATTTGAGTTAGGAACAGATTTAGAGCTGGAAGGCCTGCTTAGACCATAAGATCCTTGAGGGCAGGGATTGCATCTTTTGTAAATTTTACATCTGACCAGTGTTACCTAACACAGCCCTGTCCCGCATACAGTTAGTGCTTAATAAATGTTGAATGAATCAATCAATAGTGTAAAGATTCCTTTCCAATAGAAGAATTGTGAGCCTGCCTGGTATGACTGGTACTTCCGGTTCTCTTTTTTTTTTTCTTGTTAAGTTTCTTATTAAATGTGAAGGCAGAAAGTGGCTTTTGTGGGGAGGTTTCCTCCTCTTCCTCCTGCTCTTACTCTAGGCCTGGTGCCCTCCTGCTCACACTCCTCACTGAAGCTGTCCAAATGAAGATAGCAGAGCCTGAGACATTTGTGTCTGCCTTTCCTCCCATGTCTATGTGAGGGTCTGACTCTGAGACCTCCAGAACAGCCACATGCCACCAGTTATAATTAAAAACATCATTCCAGGCTTGATTCTTCCTGCCAACTAGTTGTAAGCACCATCACTGGAGTTTTGTTTCTCCAAACTCTTCATTGAAATGAAGGTTGTGGATGTCAGCCATTTCTGGTTCATATTAAATCTCACTTTCCCTTCAAGCCTCCCCCTTTGCATACACACTTGAATCTTTTACAATACCAGAGCTAGCAAAGCAGGATTCAAGAGAGAGATACTGAAGCCCCTGGCAAAGCTGGCCTAATGATTGATGGGGAAACCTTTAAAATTTAAACTGATTTATGCCTCTACTTTGAATATAAACTGATTTATAACTAGAGAGAAAAAATACTTGGCCACTACAGAGCACGTTCATTAAAAGTTCGTCTGAAGTGACTGGTGTTCTAGCCATAATTTAGCTGATCATTTTAATTCTACAGAATGAAAAAAACAATTAGAATGAAATGGGTGTCATAACCTTCTTGTCTCCACAATAGATAGTCCAGGTTAGATCTTGGCCCTCATCTTTATTAAAGAGCAAAAATAATCATTTCACTGTGGCTACACAGGGATCCACCTCATTTCTCTCCTCTCCATAGGTCATCTTTGACACCTGAACTAAACAGCCTTACCTCAGGCCCAAGAATCTGGGTGGAATTGATGGTGAGTCCTCTGATTTCAAGTCCAGTATGGAATCCACTTTACCAGAGAGTTTGGTCTCATCTAATATGGATAACTAGGCTCATTGCTCAGTGCTCAGCTGAGGTATGAGGGTTCGAATGTGTAATACTGCACAATATTTGGGAAGCCTTATCATAAGTAACCAGGAAATGCTTTGGTATTTAGGCCATCATTTTCTTCCTCATTTAAATATGATTCAGAGATAGCAAATCACAATACAACAATAACACATTTTTAATCACACTTTAAGTTTTGTAAAGGATTAAATTTAGACTGAAAACCCTAGCTTGATACTATCACACATATACTCTCCAATCCTTCCCACCTTTACTGAGAAAGATAAGATAGGAAGCTAGGAACAGTAATCAAATCTGTATAACTATTCCTGGAAAGGACATGTCAGTCCATTATCCAATGGCCCCATCCACCACCATCCTTGTGTTTTCCTATTCCACAACATTCTTCCCTCCCCATCATTCTTCTACGTATGTCTTCTTCTATTAGTGTTACAGGTGAAATCTAAAATAACTGAGGAGACAAAGGTTCGAGCTTCTGAGCATCCTGATTTATTAAGCAGTGCATGCCAATTGTATAACAAATAGGAACCAAGATACCTCAGCTTGGCACTGGATTCTGAATATAGGGGAGATAAAATTTTATGCATTAAAAGAAAACAATCAACAGGACATCAACCAGGATACAGGTTTAAGTAGTCTGATTTCTAATTGGAGGAAAGATTAGGGGCTTTCCAAGTTGGGTAGAGGAGAATGAACAGGTGTAATTCCCTGAAGTTAGAAAAAGAGGTGTCCCACTCTTTTCCCCAGTCATCTATATTCAATCAAAGGAACAGAAAAACAGTAACTGAAATAGTTTTTTTTTTTCAGATAAGACATATGGGTTGCTTGAGATGTATAACTGTGAGAAAACTCGCATCAATCTTTGAATCTGACTGGGTTTCTGGTCAGCAGAGCCTAGGAAGGTTCTTAGTTAAGGGTCTCTAAGCAACAGTAGGGCAGCTAGGTGATGCAGTGGATAAAACTCCAGGTATAGAGCCTGGAAAACCTGAGTTCAAATCTGGCCACAGATGCTTACTAGCTGTGTGACCCTGGGCAAGTTATTTACCCCTGTTGCCTCAGTTTCCTCATCTGTAAAATGAGCTAGAGAAGGAGCAAACCATTCCAGCATCTTTGCCAAGAAAACCCAAAATGGGGTCATGAAGAGTCAGACACAAATGAAATGACTGAACAACCACAAAACCTGACTCTGATATTCCATCTTCCCACCTCTCTGCTCTAATTCCAGATTGCATTGTTTCCCAGATTGCATTGTTTCTTGATTTTTGTCTTCCTTCTTCTGGTGCCCAGTGCCTATTCCATATTCTCTTTTCTCTCCTGTTCAAATAAAAGACCCAGACCTCCAGCCCCTCCCGCTAAGGTTTTCACCAGTACCAAAAGAGGGTAGAAGTTTAATTTGAATAACGCCTCTGATCTCTCCTCCATTGGATTCTATTCTTACAGTCGTCAGGAAAAGGAGCATGGAGTCTTATGCTAATCCATGGCAGCAGCCAGTGGAACTTGTCAGTATAACAACACGTGTTGACATAGATATGTGCCTGCTGTCCCTCCTCACTTTCCTCCTTCCTCAGGGGAGCATTTTGTCTGTTTATGAACTGTAGACAGAAGATGAAAAACAATATTGAAACATGTGGCTGCTGATGGCAGGGAGAGGATCATCAGCTAATTGTTTCTGCTTTCTGTGGCACGGAAAACATTTTATTTTTGTCAAAAGCAACTGCAGAGCCTAAGCGATAGGGCAATGACAGCCTAAAATCTTTTGAACAAAACCTGCCCAGCTAAGCAGCAGCATGTATAAAGAGCGACCGGCGGGAATGACAGCTTTTTCTAGGGAAGGGAGTCTTTCCTTCTTTGTTCATTAGCATGTGTCACGAACTTCATCAATGACTGAGGAGCCCCGTTTGTCAAGTTGAAAGCTGCCAGAAAGAGCTTCTCCCAAAGTATTTGTTGAGGAGCCAGCTCCCTTCAAAGGCAGTGCAAGCTTGGACCATTACTTTCTTTTTTTTTGGGGGGGGGGTTTAAAATAATTTCCTCATTGGGATTTTAATGCAGGTATACATGAAATTTATATATTAAAAAAATTAAAGAAAAGTTTCATTTCTTTTCTAGAATAAAGTTTAAGTGCACAAATACATCCCAAAGCCAACATAAAACTAGCTTTGCTTTGCTGTGTCTCTAAAAAGCATTTTAGCTATTTAGAGCAGGCAAAGAAAAAGTAATCCTCTGAGTTCTAGGCTTCATGAAAGGATTTAAAATATATATATATTATATATATACATATATATATACACATACACACACATAGGTCTGATGTGCAAGTATGCAATAAATATATACCCCTACATTCCTACCTGCTTTACATCATTCTAGAGTATTCACAGTAGAATCAAGCTAAGGGAAGGTTGGTCCGTTTCAATCACAATGTCTTTAGCTCATCTTGGCCATGTCTATGCACATAACTAGACGGCAGGTCTTGGCCTAATTGACTTGACAATTTGTTTAAATTGTTAAAAGTACCAATGAATCAGTCAGTCTTGGACAGTGAACCAGTTGGTCAAATCCGACAATGCATTTGATTTAGATCCTTTCTCCTTCTCTGTGTTGATTCAGCACTGAAGTCCTCCCTAATGCCTCATGATGACATGCATTTCTGGATTCTCAGAAGCTCTGCCAGCAGAGTGCAAACTGTGGTAGATCTTGCCAAATTGGAAAGGCTTGGAGAACTGGTCTCTTAACAATATTATATAGCTGTCCTCTATGCACCAGCTTAGCTAAGTCTGAAAAAGCTCATTATCAAAAAGGCTGGCTACCAGGTAACATATTGGGGGTTTTGGGGTTTTTTTTTTCAGGCAATTGAGGTTAAGCGACTTGCTCAGGGTCACACAGCTAGTAAGTGCTAAATGTCTGGTCTGAGACCAGATTTGAACTCAGGTCCTCCCGACTTCAGGGCTGGTGCTCTATCCACTATGCCACCTAGCTGCCCTTCCATGTAGCATATTTGGAGAGAATGTAAGATCATTGGCCTAGACCAGGAAGGGGGCCTCATAACAGCCCTGAAGAGTGGATTTTATAGGTAGGTGGTATTGTGCTCATTTTACAGATAAGAAAACTGAGGCTTGGAGAGTTTAAGTGACTTGCTGTATACTTCACATATGGCAAACTTCCAAATAAAAATGGAAACTGTGGTCTTCCTCAATTCAATTCCAGTGCTCGTTTCACTAAATGACAGTATAGGGTATATATTAGTCACTTTTTTATTAAATGACTTGTTGGCTGACTAAATGAATTTTTTTGACTATTCTGATTTCTTGTTATGGTCACTAGAATCCTCATTGTTATTTATTTACAAATAAGCTTTTGAATCCTAGATTCAAGTGTTTCCCCCTCCTAACAGCCCTATGAGGGAGGTGGTGTAAGTATCATCACTCCTATTTTATA